GTAATACAGGGTGTACTTACCTATTCTGAAGCAAGCCTAGGGTAGTGGTGTTCTTCCATGTTATTCATAGCAGACAGACTGTATATTGAACCTATAAAAATTATAAAATAAATACAGTAAATATTTTATATTTTCTAATCAAATTCCAATCAAACCTTAAAAGAAACTTCAAAAGAGAGTGAGTACAAGTCTCTAGTTTCTCTAGTGTTAAAAAAAAATTCTATGTCAATTAATATATAAATAAGTAATAAATTAGCTGATGAACTTTTAAATACATTTACATGTACACTATTATCTTGAATGCCAGATTAGGCTGAAATTGATCATCTTTCAGATATTCTATAGTTTGAAAGCCAGCAAGTTCTATCCATATTCATATCTTCAATATTTTAGCCCCCCCCCCCAAAAAAAAAAAAAGAGACAGTATAATTTTTTGGTAATGCAAAACTGTAGAATTAAGAAGCAAAAAGAAATTTCTCAAAAACTATTTTGTTATTAAATATTCATTACTTATATGCACCCTGTAATTACTGTGATTATGATATGTATTTATTTTCACCTGTATTGTGATCGTGCAATGCTTTGGGTTGAATCGTCAGTCTTAACAGCTTTGGGTTCTTTCAATAAAAACGGCACTCGGACACTGAACTCCGGTTGCTTAATACATAATAAAAACAAACATTTTCCATTAAAAATTTGATAAAAGAGCCGAGTGGATAACCATCTAACATATAGGCTAGCCTACACACAAACTGCAATGCAAGATGTCTACTTTCACTTTCATCAAGATCGTACATAAATATGCAAACGTAACTGTCGACAAAAGGAAAACAAATCTGAAAAAATTAGCAATGCTAAATAGTTTTTACATTAGCCGAAAACAAATCCAAAATAATGTAGCATGTAGGCCTAGATAAGATCACTAGGTGTGTCGTTTTTTACGAACTGCATTAATTACAACTACAGTTAGATGTTATGCAAGTCACGAGAGTACTAGGAGTTCGTATGAATCTATAACCGTAAAGAAATTCTCTTAAAACACCATAAACTAATTAATTTCTTTAAAAAAAAAAAAAAAAAAAAAACATAACTGATATCACTTACTTGTTTCTAACACCCAACACTTCTGCTGCAGCAGTGACGTCAAAAATGACGTAGTACACTTCCATCCGATAAAAACCAAAACCGGTCCGGAAATAAAATGTGGAATGCTTTTAATTTCATAAAATAAATCCAAACAAAACGGGGTAAATACAAATTTTTAATTCTTGATAAACTTGATTTTGGGAATACCATGTTCAAGAGGACAATTTTGAATTTGAAGAAAAGAGTGGGGGAGGGGGTGCAGGGTAACAGAGTAGTAAAACCCTCCCCCTTTTTATGTAAGCTTCTACAAGAAATGACCATTCTTTTGAATAAATGTATTCAAATTGATCTTGATATTTGTTATTGAAATTAATTTTTTAACATGCAGTCTATTTGCATTGGCGGATCTAGAAGGGGTCGGGGGGGGGGGGGGGTCCGGAGGTTGGTACGGGCTTAAAGTGCCTATGGTGCGATTCTATGCATGTGTGTTGGGGGCACCGACCTGGAAGCTCCCCCCTTCAAAATTTGCTGGATCCGCCCCTGACATGTTAAAATATAACATTTAACTCGAGTTTTTCATATTACGCTTAATATCAAATTATTGCCGGTTCACTGATTAACATTAAATTCATTAAAATATTTTTTTATGTCGTTAAATTTAAATAAAATTAATTCAAATAACGATAACATTAATTTAATATTAAATGAAATAAATGTGAAAAGGCGATTGGTTATTATATGATGTTCATTATGAATTTTATGTGAAACTAAAACATACGTCGAACATATGTTTGAAACAACCATATGTTTAAAATATGTTCAACATATGTTAAACATATAGTTACCACAAACATATGTTCAACATATGTTTTGAGTCTGCTATATGTTCAACATATATTTCAAACATGTATTCAACATAAGTTTTAAACATATGTTCAACATACTGTCAAAAATTCATATGGTCAACATATGTACAACGTATGTTCAACATATGTTACTCGAAACATATGTTGAACATACGTTGCAATTTTACCTGTGTACAAAAGGTAAATGCTTTCTGAATATTAATGCACTTAATTTATTTAAAGGATTTTAAAGTGATAATGAAATGAAGATTTATTTCAAGAATTTTATACATTCGGCGTAAAAAAAAATGATTGCAAAACACGTCTTTTTTTATAGTGTGCAATCAATTGGACAATCGCAGAAAGAGATTTTTAAAAAGATGTGAAAAAAAATTACTGTTAAATAAGATATATATAGATATATATAGATATCAAAAATACAGAATATCGTAGGATTTGTACATAACAAGCTCTATATATCAAAAATAAAAGTAGGTTGATTTTTATCGTTTCATCATTAATACCTGTAAGTGTCGTATATTTACTGTAACATGAACTAAGAAAATAAAAATCAACATTAATTTGGTACACGTAATTAAGCATTCTCTTTCATACAATTAAGATAAACGAATATCCATTACGAAACTAACCATTGTGGATTTCTTTGACATTACAATAACCATGAAATCATGACCTTTTTGTCAATGGATATATCAGAAGTTTTAGATAACTTATCCCTAGTTTAACTTGCAATGTTAATCAGTCCTGCAAACAAGTTGGAAGAAAAACCTTTCCAAATTTCCCAGGCATATGACACACAGATACTCGAAAATATGATTTGATATTAATACAACTGGTATTATGATTTATTATATACCCAACTGTTTGTCATTCAGTTTTACTGTTGAATTTATGCAATCATGTGACGGTGTGATCCGACGTTCTGGATCACCACACTGTGGTTTTCTGAATCCATATCACCCCTCTCTGAAATTGATGACCTAGTACACAGATAAATGACGTTTTTATTCTCGCGTATCAAAAAGTTCCTTTACAAAATGGATTGTTTAATGGATAAAAGTAATGTAATTGATCCAAAAAGCTTCCTTTTATTATATTTTGCGAGTTGGAAAGGGGTATAAAATAAATTTATCATTATAACAGTAACTTGATCCGAAGAGTCGTATCACGTCTCGTTGACAGGCGCGGATCATCAGATCAAACTCGACGCTTCGCGTCTCGTTTGATCTGATGATCCGCGCCTGTCAACTTGACGTGATACGACTCTTCGGATCAAGTTACTGTTATAATAATATATATATATTAATATGATACTTAATAATTTTTGCAGCATTTTTGCAGCATGAAAATTAATATCATTATGTGTTTGGCTTATACTATTTGATCTTACATACAGCATATGCGTACAAATAAAGAGGGCCGAGTAAAAAAGAATAGACGGATTATATTTAAAAAAAATCATTTATCTTGTACAAATGCTATTATGATAGATTTTCCAAGCATACCCATTCTGAGTCAGACGATATTAAGGAGATAATAAAACTTACATCCGGACCCTTGTCTTCTTTTCCTTTGTTAAGTACTGTTGTAGTATTATTATGTTTCCGTTAGTCCTCTTTTTATTATATATACGGCTCATTATCAAGTTATAAACTTTACACTGTTTTGAAAGTAGATTAAAAACGAGGAAAAGTAAATATTAAAAGCCATTTTGCTATAAACGTTATAAACGGTAAGTGAACGATTACAATATTGGAAAATATATTTTTATACAAGAAATATTAAAGCAGTTAAGTAACTATACATAGAAACGCATTTGAAACCAAATATATTATACATTGCACCTAATTCAGATTTTAATTTTACTAAGAGGCAGCGTATCATGCATGACTGTATAAGTTAATCATTGGATTTCCTTCAAAGTAATATGACTGAAATGTTCATGGGTGATGTTTAAAAAAATTGTACAATATATATATAGTAACATGTTCTATAACGGATAATATTCGGATGTTGATATCTTTTTAGAATATGTCTCAGATATAAGTGGTCACCCTTTATTATCATATCATTTTGATATCTATTCATATCATTTTGATATCTATTCATATCATTTTGATATCTATTCAGATTATGTCTCAGATATTAGTGTACGCTCTTTAATTCCAAATGATGTTGATATCTCTTCGGATTTGTTTCAGATATTAGTGGTCAACCTTTATAACCATATGATGTTGATATCTCTTCTGATTCATATTATACATGAGAAAAAGAAATCTCTTGCTCTGGCCTTCAACTCGACATTTAGGCATTTCGACGACGTATTGTCTATTAACAATAGTAATTTATATTCTATATGTCGCCACGATCTATATGTCGCCACGATATATCTCAGTGAGCTTGAAATAAAAGATACCACAGAGTCTGACACATCTGTTTCATATATGGATATTTTACTAGAAAAAGATGTTAATGGTAATCTTAGAACAACGCTTTATGATAAACGTGATGACTTTGACTTTTAAATCGTCAACTTCCCTTACTTATGCAGCAATATACCCTTACCATCTGCATATGGGTTGTATATTTCTCAGTTGATTCGATACGCTAGAGCATGCTATACTGTACGTATAAACAATTTCTAAAACGGGGTAAGTTATTGCTAAACAAGTTGATGAAACAAAAGTATCAATAGCCAAGTTTAAAGTCATCATATCGTTAAGTTCTATGGTCGATACATGTGAATGATCTTATCAGCAAATACAATCTATCATTAAGTCATATGCTGACTTACGTTTTTTTATACTAATTGTGAGGTCATTATTTTTACACTGAATTGTCGAAGGATTTTTCCGTTATTTACCGATCATGCCAAGGAGCATACGGCGGGTTTGACCGGTTGGCAGGGAATGCTCACTTCTTCATGGCACCTTTAATGTTTTTTGGAGGTCTGCGTTTGCTCTGCCCCCGATTTGTATTGTTTTATTGGAATTTGAGCTTGAGTAATCTCTATATTTCATTATTTTTTCAGATTATGTCTCAGATATTAGTGGTAACTCTCCTCTTGTCACAGCTACAAATGAGTTTTTCCCAGAGTCTAGACATAAGAAAGGGCGATGATAAATGTGCATTGGAGACATTGGAAGAATCCCTGCTTTCATTAAAAATGCATTTAAACACCCAATTAAAGGACTTGGAACAAAAAGGTGTTTGAAATTACTTCAATACTTTTATCTGAATAGAATTAAATCCTGGAATTATGTATTCTAACAAAACAGGGATCAGCCTAAAAATATATTCTTTAATTACTTTTTACTTTAATCTAGCTAATATGTTTTGCTCTTTTGAGATCTATCCAATTGAATTTCAAAATTGTTCTTACTTTTTCAGTGAAGAGAGAAAACATACAGACATTCGAAAATCTTCAAACACAGATAAACAGTTTTAAAAGTTTGTTCATGAAAGCAGCTAAAAAAATTCGAGACTATTATTTTAAATTTTATGTATTATGATTTATAATTTCTTTTTCTGAAAAAAAAAAATCTTATTTCTTGATTATTTAAACTGTTTGTTAGAAAATAGAAAGCATAGGTATTGAAAAAAGACTTCATTTTGTAAATTCTAGATCGTTTATGTAATGAAATTCCTTCCTTAAGAATTGTACAGACAAAAAGAAAGAAACGAAAAAGATGGTTCCACGTCTGCTTTTTTTCAATTTCAGATTGTCCGAAAGGATGGGTCAAGCACGGCAATTCATGCTACATGCTTAACACACAAAAGTTATCATGGGAACAGGCAAATGTGAGTAATATACGAGATTAACATTCAAAGATATTCTATAGACGTTCCGCACGGTGTTGGTACTATAAAATCTGACTCTTTAAATGTCGTAAAGAAATGGCGTTTTCAAGATGATAAAGTTACTAGAAATTAAAAATGAAATTAATTATTTTATCCAAGGTAATAAATTATTCTAAAAATTCTCTTTTTAATAATATAAAAATGTCTTAGCTATGATATGGCTTTATTCATTATTGGTTATTACGGCGAAATTCCCGTGTCCAACGTTACATGAATTATTGTTCGCGCAACTACAAGATATAAAAAGATCCACTTCCAATCCTCTAAATTAAATAAAATTTAGGAAATACAATAATATGTATGCATTCTTTGTGATATTGTTGAATTTTTAGCATCATTTTCTCAATTTCACGAGTTTGGGCTGTATCTACAGTGCGTAAGTAATATGTCCAACAGGAAAAAATCGTTTCCTAAAGTTGACATTAGCCCGCATGGCGATGTGTACTAAACATAAATGCCACACAAAGATAAAATTTGATGAATAATCTTTAAGTACATATGTTTCTAAAATTAGTTATGTTGATACATGCTATATAACTGCTGATACGTTAATATTAGTAAGGCTTTGTTAAGTGTAGCCATTTTGTTATGCACGTACGAGTCGCTGTACTATTACTTAGATGTCTCAGTTACATATCAAATATACATAAATTAATGTCATATATATATACCAATCATTACTGTATCTTGAAAGAACATTTCATACTGTATTAGATAATAACATAATTTTTACGGTTATCATCTACATGAAATAAACGCAAGCATTAATATAGATGTAGCCATTTTGTCACAGGTACGAAAAACGTCATTTTACACACTACATATATACGAATGACGTCGGGAGCGTCATATTGTATCGCCGTGCTTTTTTTCCCCAATTTTCTGCAGGTCCGGAGTACCAAGTAGGGTAAAAAGTCCTTCTCCAATTGGCAATTATTTTAGAACAATCTTTTGTTTTAAATATTCTGAAAATTTTCATTCAAAGGCCGATACCCCCTTTTTATTTTGCTGCAGCAATATCTAAACATATCACGTTATTGTTCTCTCTCTCTCTCTTTGCTAAAATGAGAATGAGAGCCCCCCCCCCCTTCCACGAAAAAGTAAAAGGTTTCTGAATTTTATTTTTTCTGGATAGTTTTTTTTTTCAATTAAGTAGGGTTTTTAATAGCGAAACATCCCCATCCCTTCTTTTTTGCATGTCAGTACCCCCTCCCCCCCCCCCCCCGATTTATAAAGAGAGCTTAACTATTTAGGCTGAAGAAAAAAAAAACAAGAAAAGTTTAATTCAGTATAAGGCCATTTAATTTTTTTTTTCCGTTTAGCGACCTCCTATAATTGTAGAACCTATCTACCGATTCAAAAAACATATCAGTACAAAAGCCCAAAATTAAAACAAGAACTTTATACCGGTCTTTCCCCTCTAAAGACTTTTTCGGAAAACTGGCTCTTTCAAGAGTATAGTTTCCCCTTCATCAGAAATCCCACACCACATTCAATTTTCCGGGGAAATCCCTACAGTTATAAAGTGCGATTCCCTCAAGAGCCAATTTACCCCTTCTGCTATAAAATATCATGCCAGTATTTATATATGAGGGGGAGGGGGCGACATATGGTTACAAATGTACTTTCTGTCATTTTTTCACAGGTGCTCTTGCAGTAGACAATCTTAATGAAACTTCACAAAAATTGTAATAAAAAAAAGTCTAGTTGTGTCAACATTTAATTTAAAAAAAAAGAGGAATTTTATTTTTAATGGATTTTTTTTCTCCAGTTATATTTCATAAAACTACATGTGCATAATACTGATTAAGTGTCTCGCGAAGTTTCTGGGGTTTAAAATAGCTATCCAGTATTACACCTCTGTGGTCGAGGGGTCATACCTATCCTACGGCTTGCAAGAGCAGTGCATCTTGTATTGTATTTTTTTTTAACTACTAAAATTTCATACTAAAGGATGTTTTCGTTATAACAAAAGATTTGACCTATAGAAGAGAACAATTTCCTGAAAAAGTCACATTTTAAAATCAAGGTTCTTTAGTTGTTTTCTATCGTATATTTGTCTAAATTTTTCAAATTTGCATTTTGAACCTACTTTTTTTCATTTGCAACTTTGAAATTAACCTACGAAGTTGGTCAAGACGGTATATTATTCGTTAAAGCACTAATTTTTGCGTAAATTTTGGAATAGAAGTCCTTCAGGGCAGGCCTACCCCTAATTTAAATTATGAAATTTTGATAGATTTTGATCTGAAGAATGATTTAAAACAAGGTTTTTTTAGGGACACCCCTGCCCTAGGGTCGAAATTCGTAAAAAACCTACAAAAGTGCGAAAACCTATTTCTGTCATACTGGATTATATTTATGTCAGACGTATATTCTCATAGTTTGTATAGCTCAGAGAGACAGACCGTAGACTCTCACCATGGACAATTTTAGCGTCCTGGTTCGAATCCACCTGTTGGCACACTTTTATTTTTTCAAATTTTTCACCTGTATAAACACGAATTTAATTTTTCATACAGGCTTTTTCATTTTACTTCTATTTTCTTCCTTAAATGTATATGTTTGCTGTTGATATAAAAGACATTTATGGAAATGCAGATCATAAATTCTCTTTAACTAAACGCAATCAACCGGAACTATACCTCAGTGTAAGCACACTTTGTTCGAGGACACGAATCATTCACTTTGTGTTACTCGATACTGCAGGTGTCACGAAAAAAAATCATGCCGAGCAAAAATTGCTGTGTTTGTCTTTCAAGAACATCTCTGGGTAATAGTACTGTTGTGCCATTGGGAGAGATACTGCGCAATGCAGAGTAGATGCAGTTCATTCCTCGGGAAAATTGTGTGCATTGGCGACATGTTATGTCAAAAATGCAGGGGGCAGGTTTACAGATTAGAAAAGAATGTGGTAAGGTCAGTTAAGGTTTTATGTCCCGTTGCCATTACCCAGGCATCAAGTAAGGACCCTCTTATAAAGGATGTTTCTGTAAATACCGATGTAGGGTCATATGAAGACAGTTGACTAGAACTAAAACGATACATGAGAAACAAGAAACTACACGCATGTGGCCTAAAGTCAGGGACCGGAACGGATATCGATAAGCTTTTTCTAAAGACTGAAACCAATATCGGCCATATATTTATACCTAGACGTGATCCTTTGAAAAAATTTTGAGCGAAAACACTCATATTTCTATTAAAAAACCAGTTGACTTTCATATAAACTTTAGCAATGTCGATATGATTTAAGCATTGATAAAACAGGGGAAAACCTACTCTGAGAGAGAAAGAGAGGAAAATTAGCTCTAGTGTAAGATTCCTGAGTATAGATTCCGGGGTGGGGTGGGGGGCTGGTTATTGGGGAAATCCTACTTTGTACAGCAGTTGTCATAAAAATTACATCATTCAAATGTTTTGATTTCATAATTCCATTTTTCTCGTAGAAAGACATATTTTCTCTATCGTAGAAAAATATATTCCTTCGCAAAATCAAGGTTGTAAATGCTAGGTACATTACCTGATTTAACATATTAGAAAAATATAGAAAGAAAATGACAGAATTCAAAAGGTTACAATAAAAAAGGCAGGCGGGGGAGGTCGGGAAGGGGGTTCCGGACCCCCTCCCCCCCTGGGATTTTCAGTTATTTTTTTTTGCTTGTCAAAAACTTCGAGTGTCATATTTTTTAATTGGTTGGACCCCCCTCCCCTCGCAAAATTTCCTGGAACCGCGCATTAACCGATTTTCTGTGCTTTTCTCTGCTCTTGGTTGTCAGAAACCAAGGTGCATGCGGGGCTTGATAGAAATAGAAAACTTGAAATGACCTAATGGAAAAAAAAATGAAGGAGAAACGGTTGAAAGAGAAGGCTACTTGATGTGTTTTCTCTTTGCAAGACAGAGCGTACAAAGTGAGAAAAAAGAAATAGAAAGAGGAATCAAGAATATGAATGGGGATATGTATGCTTGTGACAATTTCATAATAAAAATCTGACAATCTATTAAATATTTATAAGATTATAAGATTTTTAGTGTACATGTACATCTTAATATTTTCAACGAAGATTCAAAAATTGAAAAGTTTGTGCTCTGTTATTTTATTCAGATTTTAAAAAAAATAAATAGAATTCACATTAAACAACTAAAATTTTCATTTAACGTTTAAAGCGTTGTAACAACGTTATGACTTTAATAACGTTATTTTGACGTAACGTCAATGTGTACCAACACCGTGCGCAACGTCTAAACAAAAAAATCTGTTCATTATTTAAAAGACCTCTTAATAATAACGAAAGGTGTCCAAATGTTTTGTAAGGTTGTTTAGTTTATATTCAGTATAACCTTAGAATAAAGACCATCATTTAGTACTTTATTATGTACTCGATTTTTATTTTACCACTTGTCTGTTTGCATTGGTATGCACCAAATGATTAATCACACACTCACAAACACACACTCCCTCACACACACACACACACACACACACACACACACACACTATATATATATATATATATATATATATATATATATATATATATATATATATATATATATATATATATATATATATATATATATATATATATATATATATATTATAGAGAGAGAGAAAAAAAAATCATGTCATATTTATTCTTTAAAATTGGCTTGTTGTTTCTCTATTTGACATCATTTAATCATATAGCGTATGGCCATCTACATGCTTGTCTGCCTTTCAAAGTATGCACAGCGTATGTGGTGTGCTATAAACTATACCTGTTACATACAATAATGATCATTGCAGGTTAAATGCCGAGGATTATCAGCAAAGTTGGTTGAAATAGATACAAAGCCCGAAAACGTCTTTATAACAAATACCATAAGAAATGAAGAAGCCAACGGTGAGAATTTCTTTATTAAAGCAATTAATTTTGTCTACCTGGAAATTGTAAGTGTATTCTGCTTTTTTCAATACTACAAGGTTTGAATAAGGTAAAGAGACATGCCAACCTCTGTCTAAAGTTGGTTTTTTTTTTTTTACGACGTCTAGCATTAATTTATTATTAATTCAAGTTTTAAGATTGTATTATAAATTCTCCCTGTTTCAAATCTTTTAGTGTATAATTATTTTGCTCATAATGTTGAAATACTTGTTTAGAGTTCCTGAACAGCAAGGTACCGAATTGTCAGCTCTTGTATGTGCTTATTCATACTTCCACTTCAGTTGCCTCCGTCAGTAACTCAACACCTGTTCTAGATGATGTGATATATGTCTCAAATCAAATAGACAAACTGTTTTACTATACAAATTACAATTAGTTTAATATAATCTTCCTTTTACAAAGCACGTGTATTTACAAAAAAAGTGAGGTAAAATGTGTCGAAAAGAATAATATAGGCTTTGATTTTTCTAATTATAAGTTTATCTTCTTTTTTCTGAAACACTGAAATGCTTTCTTTGGCTCTTAATGTGGGAAATATTGTTGCAGCTGTTGCAGATAAAATACATAAACCGCGAAAGCAATAATAAAGTAAATTGTTAACTTTATTGTACGCTTTTGTCTGTATAAGTAATCATTTAAAGTAGGATCAAGTACGTGAAATATTGTATTATTGATACAAGTATGTACGTCACTGTATGATTCATTGCAAGAGCCTCTGCTCAAAAATCTATACAGGTGGCTTGCTCAGCGGTGTAATAGTATTGATCAAATGACCTTGTAATTCATAAGAAATAAAGGACAAAATAATATTAAATGGATCTAGATATTACATTTCAAAATGAAATATTAATTGTGTAAAAATTCTTATAAAAACATTTAGGCCGTGCCTGGTTGGGTGGTACAGACAAAACACAAGAAAACATCTGGATTTGGAATGACTCAGGTTTACCATTACGCTTCAAAAACTGGAGCAAGGGAGAACCAAATGATGACAAAGGAAATGAAGATTGCATGGAAATATTTTCTAAAAACGGAATGTGGAATGATTTGCGATGTTCTTTTTCGTCTATGTTTGTATGTGAAAAAGACATTTAATGTCTGCTTAAAATTTTACATAAATCAGGATGAGTTTTATTTTATATGTTTTATTTTTAACGCTATCATACTACATTCTTTCGTTCACAATGTTAAGGACAGTAGACATAAGACTGTGAGATGTCAAAAATTTTTGTAGCTCAGCCATTCTTTAAAATGCTAAGTTTTCTCAAAATGAGCAAAGCACTGGTAACGTTTATTCTATATTTGTATATTTTGTCAGTTACAATATTATTTTTTTGACAATGGCTACTTTTTAAAAATATATATAATTCCTCTTAGGAGTCTGAATACTTTTAACAAAATTGTCTACATCTGTTCCTGAATGTCTACATTTGAATTTTGTATAGGTGTATATAAATTCTATTTACATTTGAGATATCAAATTTCATTTTTAAGATCACTTTATCTAGATCTATATGATTGATTCAGCAAAAAAACTGGAGAAAGCTCATGAATTGTAAATACGAGGGTCGTTTGGTAATATCATGAACGATACGTCTTTATCGGAAAATGATGCGAGCACTAAGCTGAAAGTTCAGTAAATTTTTGTTTATCATATTTGTGTATATCTTCATTTTTGTGATAAAATATAGACAAAAAATAAGGATTTTATTATATTTCGATGTGCACAGGGAATGAGCCTACGGTGCATGACCACAAAATCAGAGAGTATGCAATTATTATTTCGAAATAAAAGTATTACAATGAAAATATTACAGGCTAGGGTGTATATTTTCATATTTTAAGTTACCATCTATTATGATATCATTCGGAGAATTTTAAGGCATTTAATTGGAAAACAGTTAAGTTTTATGTAATGACTTTTAGTAATAGCAGAAGGGAAAAAATAAAAATATCAGTATTTAGTATACAAGTGGAATGGACATTTTCTAAGCGGAAACTTTTTTCATTGATTCCTATTGTAGAAATAAAAACTGCAGATCCCTATTAAATGCATTCGAAACTTTTTTTGGTGTTCTGTAAACTATGATTTTCCCTGCAGTTCGCATTTGCTCTGTGGAGATTTAGTGAGACTACAGAGAGACTGTTAACGGATAAGGTAAATTATTCACGAAATTGTAGCTAGGAAGTGACTAGACCGTGGAAACATAATAAAGAGAAAAGTTATGTTGTGTTTCAGTTTTCACCACTATATTAGATGTATATAAATAGAAATATACTTTAAGGTCTCTTTAATTCATTTATTTCTTCAATAAGTATTCTTTTATGATATTATTTTTTGCAGTTTTGTATATAAAATTCTTTTTGGGCAACATGCTTGCAAACAAGAGGCCAAGGGGCCACATCGCTCACCAGAGCACTATGGCAAGGAAAAAAGCCTAAATCAGTTTAGTATTGCAATGCTTAAATGCATAAGTGGTCCCAACCTACCCATAAAAGGGAGGGGGGTATGATTTGTACAAAATTGAATCTACACTAACTAAGGATTTTTTGACTAACTGTGACTTTTTTCCTACAAGTTTAAACTTCCATTGTGGCCCCTACCTACCCCTGAGGGTCATGATTTGATCAAACTTGAACCTCACCATCTGAGGATGCTTTCATATAAATATGACCAATCATGGCTTTGCTGTTCTTGAGAAGATTTTTTAAGATTTCTCCTATATATTCCTATGTAAAATTTTGATCGTCCATTGTGGCCCCACCCTACCCCAGGGGTCATGATTTGATCAAATTTGAATCTACACCACCTGATGATGCTTACATATTAATATGACCAATCATAGCTTTGATATTCTTGAGAAGATTTTTTTGAATTTTTTTCTTACATACTCTTATGTAAAACTTTGATCGTCCATTGTGGTCCTACCCTATCCCCAGGGGTCATGATTTGAACAAATTTGAATGTACACCACCTGACAATGCTTCCATATAAATATGACCAATCATAGCTTTGCTGTTCATGAGAAGAAGATTTTACATATTTTTCCAATATATTCCTATGTAAAACTTTGATCGCCCACTGTGACCCCACCCTACCCCCAGAGGTCGTGATTTGAACAAAATTGAATCTACACTACCTGAGAATGCTTCCATATAAATATGACCGATCAAGACTTTGCTGTTCTTGAGAAGAAGATTTTTAAAGATTTTTCCTATGTATTCCTATGTAAAACTTTGATCGCCCACTGTTGCCCCATCTTACCCCCGGGGGGTCATGATTTGAACAACCTTGAATCAACACTAACTGAGGATGCTTTCATATAAATATGACCAATCAAGACTTTGCTGTTCTTGAGAAGAAGATTTTTAAAGATTTTCCCTATGTATTCCTATGTAAAACTTTGATCGCCCACTGTGGCCCCACCCTACCCCTGGTGAAAAGTTTACGACAACAACAACGAAGACGCCAACGAAGACGACAGACAACGGACAAATTTTGATCAGAAAAGCTCACTTGAGCTTTTGGCTCAGGTGAGCTAAAAACTTTCTAACATCAGAATAATTTACGAGAATGCTGAATAAGGTACCAAACTGACTTAAAACCGTCAAATCAACTGAATAAGTTAAATTGCATTATGATTTACTACGATTACTACAGGAATTTTACGTCTGGAAAAGACCAAATCTACTTGTTTGTTTGTTTGTATGTCGTTTAACGTCCCTCTCGAGAATTTTTCACTCATATGGAGACGCCACCACTTGCCGGTGGAGAGCTGCAAATTTTGTCCTATGCTCGGCACTTACGGCCATTGAGCAGTAAGGGATCTTTTTCGTCCCAGCACCTACTGCGACACGGGACCTCGGTTTATACGGTCTCATCCGAAGGACCGGTCTCCACGTCCCACAGTGGGATTCGAACCCGCGACGTAAGGATCAACTCCTTGTTACGCGACTCTAGAGCAGACTCTCTAACCACCGCTCCACGCGGGTGACCCAAATATACTTGTAATTGGAAAAATACAACGATTAATTTTCATGCATTTTACAGATAAACAAAAAGTGATCCATTTTGACCTATTATTTCCATGCTCTCGTTTACAAGCAACTGATAAATAAACGTAGCATTCTAGGTTTCTCAAAGCCATTTTGTTAGACGATTTGCGTCTGAATTCCTATATTGTACGAACAGTGAATACAAATGTCAGTTAGATTCCCTGGCCAAAGACAGGAGACAAAAGTGTTCGTGCGTATTGTAATGTAAAAAAAAAAATAATAAAAATAAATTTAAAAAAAAAAAAAAAAAACCTTGGTGTTCATTTTAATGCATGATCTGGACATCTCTCTCACTTTCTAATCATTGTTTTATCTTCTTCTTTTTTTCTCAATAAAAAATCATTATTTTCAATTATTTTTGAAGTTCATTAAATATCGCATCATAGATTGGGCTAAACCATGAGTTCGGAATAAAATTCAAGCATGAAGTAAGCAAAAATAGTTTGCTATTCATTAAATGACTGGACAGATCTGTTGTTCGCAATTAATTTGCAATAGCCATATAAGGATAACAAAGGTTTGTCATTGTAGTAGATATTACAATTTTTTTCTACCAGCCTTTTGGGCGACTTTGGAAAAATAGTCGCTTCTGAGCTCCAATCCTCGCCGTTTATTATCACTGAAGCATAGACTGAGAAGCATGTGCCCCCCCCCCCTTCCCCGGTGCTGTCCTTTTTAAAATCATGAACATCTATCAGTAAGGTCTAGAAACACATTTTGTATATATGGTACATGAATTTTAAAGAAACAGACTATAGCAATTTCCTCTTTACTGCAAATTTTATTTATAAAAACTGGTTCTATCCTATAACACATCACTGGGTCAACCACGCACGACCACGTGTTTTGAATTTAAATCTGAATAACATAAGTAGGGTATACTGGAAACAGCTAAAGATCATTGCAGACAGTCAAAGAACGATTTCCTTTTTAGTTTTTGTAGTTAGAGTACTGTTAATAACTTTCAAGTAAAAATCTCCAGAAAGTCCAATGTGTCTACGAGATTGGTCCTACACCTATCTTTGAACAGACAAAGGGGAACTTGAGTATATGCATAGGTATAATTCTCGAAATTAAGTGGGGCTTATTAAACCTTATTTTAGCAAAGATGAAATTTGGTGTTGCTTTGGACAATTTGACGTTATCAACCATTCTCCGAAAGGCAGTACAAAATCTAAAACCCCATATTTTGTTTATTTAAGCATATATCTATTTTACAGTTCGTATGCATTTTGATGAAAGTAAACAAGTCCTAAAGAATAGTGAAAATTTAAGAAAACAGTTTATTTGGTTTATTTTCACTTTAGACAACCTGTCCACGATTTTACCGCACAGACCTCGTATAAACTGTTTAAACGCTTGGGATAAAGAAGATACTTTATAGACATTAATAGAAAATTCATGTATCTACTGTTTCATCATTACAAAATTTCTTAAAACGTTTCTGTTAAAATCTGTAAAATCATGGATAAAAAAATCATTTCACAGAATTATGCCTTTGTAGTTGTATTTCGACTTTAATTTTGGTTTATGACTAGAGTAATAAATTTGTTGATTGATAGCTTAAATAGATTGAAGCATTACCATTCAAAACTACCCTCTTCAACTTTTAAGACAACTCTTCCATTATTATTCTGATAAATAAAATCTTAAGCTGTTCATTCAATTAAACCTAATTAAAATTTAAATTTAATTCCAGCATATTTATAACTAAATACTACTTCTACTACTACTACTAATAATAATAATAATAATATTTATTTATTTTTTTATTGCGAAAGATGTGTCGATATTTATCAACAATGTTAGCTGAATCCAATACATGATAAGAAAACTTAAATGCATGATTCTTATCCTGAAAACTCTTTTAAAATAATTTTGTAATTTTATTTATCTAATAAATTAGACATCCGCATAGCAAATATCATTAAAAGGTTTTCAGAATCTGATGTAAGTTATCTCTATCATCTATTGTAGCTGTAGTTGTTTCATTAAGTTGGTTATTCTAGTGATTATATACATCGTCCTCTGTAGATTGGGAATCGGAAACATCCTCAAGTCTTTGGATGGGAGGTACATGTGACATCTTTCTAATTCTTTTCTAAAAAGCAGTTTATACGTATGTAAAAGTGGGGTGAAACAAGGTTAGGAAATACCCATGTTTGCTCATGAACTGTAATTTTTCCCCAAATCCATAAAAATGACTTTTTGTATCAGAGTTGTTTAAGGACATATGATAAAAATAAGTGAATGCCTGGATTGGTATACAGTATATTTTTGGACCTTTTTAAATTATAAATGATGCAAATAATAAATTTCTAAAATATTCAGAATTTAAAAACTTTCTATTATGTTTAAATTTCTACCTTTCTGCGACCCTCCTTATTAATCTATACAAATTTTTATCACTTAAAATCACTTTACTGTGAAACTTTGAATAAAAAATTTAAATCTATGCAATTAAACTTATTCATTTACTTAAATAAACATGACTTAAGTCGTTATTTTCAATTTTTTTATAAAATTTTTTGTATATCATTTACGAAAGCCGGATAGGCTCATTTTTGACAAGATAAAAAAATAATTAACTCGTTATAACGAGATAGTTATCCCGTTATAACGAGTTAGTTTTCTCGTTATAACGAGTTAATATCTCGTTGTAACGAGTTAGTTTTCTCGTTATAACGAGTTAGTTATCTCGTTATAACGAGTTAGTATCTCGTTATAACGAGTTAGTTATCTCGTTATAACGAGTTAGTATCTCGTTATAACGAGTTAGTTTCTCGTTATAACGAGTTAGTTATCTCGTTATAACGAGTTAGTTATCTCGTTATAACGAGATAATTATCTCGTTATAACGAGATAATTATCTCGTTATAACGAGACAGTTTTCTTGTTATTTTGAGACTTAATAGCAATATAGGAATAAAAATGGCTGCAGTTTTAAATGCCATTGAATTTTTAGCAAGTAATTATCAGTCAAATTTAACTTGAATAATTGATAAATGGTTGAAAATTTAATTTGCTCTGGGGTTTTCTTATGATTAAATCTTGAACTATCTCGCTGTCAATAATCATAGCAACTCTAAGGCGAACACATTTACACATTTTCGTGAACTTCTCCTCAAATTGTT